AAAAAAAAAAAAAAAAAAAAAAAAAAATGGTAGTTCATTCATACTTTTTGTCTTTCTTAAAAATATATTTTGGACCTAAATCAGTAAATATAATTAGGTCTGTATAATTAATAACTCAAACCTGATGTTTAGGGTGTTCTTAATTTTGACTATTCCACCCCAGTTTGCAAAAAATACTTTTATTTATCCAATTATTTTTTTAAAGGCAGATTCCTAGACAGCGTGTCAGTGTTGATACGACCTTCCCTGGCCGGTCCTCAGAACTGTACCCCTCGACTCCCGTGGGCAGTTTGCGCTCTGCCAGCCCCGGTGCTCCGCTGTGACTTCTGTGTAAAGTTTTGCAGTGCAGCCGCTCCCTCAGCTGAGATCTAGGTGTCTGCCAGATTGAGCGTGTTTCCCACACAGCTTCCCACTGTTACCAGTTAACGGCAGTCAGAAAGGTGAAGCAGCTGGCAGGCTGTCTTCCGGAAAGGGAAAGAGAAGGTCCTGATTACCCGAGTAAATCATAATTAGCACTTCATTATTTGGGAGGTGATTAACTGAATATTTTGGAGAGGAGGAAGAGAATGATACTGAAAGAAGCTCTGTGTGCGTGTGCATGTTTTATTTTCTATTTTTCTCTGAAGACTATATTTAAAAAACCCAGTGCTGCATTGTAGTCAATCTAGATCCCGTATACATTGCAGAGTCCATAAATTAATTTCCTTTGTTTTGGCACTAGGGATCAAAGCAAGTAGGAAATTTTACTTAATTAAAGCAATATCCTACTTAGGTAGAGTCTATAAGAGGATGTAGGACAAAAATAGAATCAGAATAAAAAAGAACGATAAGCAGATTTAAATTAATTTGAGAATTCAATCAAGAATAACCTCAGCCGTGGTGTGGAAGAAGACCCCTGTAGGAGGGCAGTGGTGTGGGGGAAGGACACAAATTGGAGGACAGTCTGTGGTAACAAAAATGTCCCTGTGTGCTGGCCCATGACTCATTTATGATCAGTCTGTGCACACGTGAGGTCAGGCTGAGCTGTATACATGTGTGTATGTCTGTGATTTTACAGCAGTTTCTTAAAATAAAATATGTGTGTTTTTCCTCCCCTTTCTCATTTGATTCAGTGTGGAGCTGAAAACATCAGAAGAGCAGAGTCTCTTAATGGAAATCCATTGTTCTCTAAGGTATCTGCAGTGTTACAACCATTTTAGTAGAACATAGCAGGAGTAATCCTCTGAGAAACTCTTGCAGAATATTGGTTTTCTCACATATTAGAACATTTGGAGTTCCAATTAATTACAAAAATAAGATTGAATTCCTTATCTACTCCTTCCTTTTTCCTTTAGGTAGCCCCAATTTTCTCATTTTTACCCACCTATAACTATGTATAATTTAAAATCTGCTTTTCAGGGAGAAGGGGGAGTGGGTGGGGTAAGAGGATGCATTTCCTGGATTCTGTATTTTAATTGTCCCTAAGCTGAGGATGCTCAGGAAAGGCAGATGTAGAATTCAGTTCAGGACTTTACAATGCAAATTAAAAGCCCGAACCCGGCACGCGTGCTGGCCTAGCAGACTTTTCTGCAAGCGGACCTTTTGCTCCTAACTCTCCGTGCTTCTCGTGTGTCTTGCAGGCGCTGGCCGACTTGGTGCACTCACATATCCAGTCAAACAAGCTGTGCTCCAAGCAGTTGACTCTGAGCTGTCCTCTCTGTGTAAATCCTGTGTGCAGGGAGACTAAATCCTTCTTCACCAACCAGCAGCTGTGACCCGGGGACCCTGTGGGATTAGGCAGATGCCTGACATCTAGACTCCTCTGCTGGGAGGAGGACACTATTTAGAGACTGAAGAAGGAAGCTGCATCCGTGTCTGCACAGTCTTTGGGTGCAACTGTGATTTCTTGAGAAATGGACTCGGAAAGCTTACCGAGAGACTTCAGTTTTCATATACTTATACAGTAAGCATTTGTAATCCCTCTCTCTGGGTAAATGTATTAGTTTTGAATTTCCACAAGGACATTCGAAAAACGACTTTTGAGAATTTATCACAAGAGATGCATACCTATTTTAAATACAAATTTTGCTTTTGTTGCCTAAAACAACCCCTTGAGAGGGTACAGAGGGTTCACTCTATCCCCGCTGTGGGATCGGTGTGAGTGAAGTCTGTTTACAGCCTCCTGTATTTAGTTGTAGTTTTTTAAATGAATATAGTTGCATTTATGAAATACAGTTTGGAGAGGAAATAGGACGTATCTTTGCCATAAGCCTGTGCGTGGGAACGGAAGGCCGGTGAGGTGGTTTGGTTGCCCACCATGGCTTCTGATCTCAGGAAGGCCACTGTTCGTTGGTCATTTTGGTGTCTGTGTGAGAGTCTTGCTTTCCTTACCCCGAATCTGAATCAAGTACAGACTTCAGAAGTGCTCTGTGATTCCCCAGGCACACGAGGCTGATAAACATGTAGAGGTCCACTATTCGACATTGGGGCCTTGGTAGGAGTCCTTGGTACCTCAGGGAGGGGAGCTTCCTATCCCTAGGACTGCACTGCCAGCAAAACTACCGAAGGGGAGTTTAAGCCCGCCCCCACCCCAGGGTCCTAGGGAGTCTTTCCACGCAGCGTCTTCTGATCTCAGTTGAATGTCTCCTTTCTGCACAATGAAGTTATTTTATAAAGTCAACTATATTTTGTAACCTTGAATTGTTTCTCAAGTTACATGTTTTTTATTGTACGATTATATATCTATACAGTAGGACATTTGACAAATACAGAGAAGAAAAACAATGACTCTAATGCAACAGCTGTTATCATCTTCTTGTGTTTTGTGCCAGTCTTTTCCTGTGGATATTTTTGATGCCATTGTCACCTTGAATTTTTAAGTGAAAAGTTATTCTAAATGGGTAGGAGTAAGGCCAGATCAGATCTGATCTTCTGTATTTGGAATTAAATGGATTGAAAACATCTCTGATGGATCCATGAAGAATTTGTAATGATTGCTTTCTCTTTCCTCCAACCCCTAAAACTTTGTCTTCAAAAGAACATTTCTTTGATTTTTTTTTTAAAGCCAATTCATAAAGTGGAAGTAATTGGGGGATTCATAGATCTTCTATATTCAAGATTTGCTTTTGATAAATGTGATGTCATTAAGGTTTTAACCAGTTTGATTGATGCTGTTAAATCAAAACTGATCAAAATGATTAAATATGAGAAATTTACTTTGCAATACAAGGAAAGAAATGTGCCACATGCTTTAGTTGGTAGTTTTTCTCAAATTTGAGTAATGTCTATATTTTTCTCCCTAATCGATTTTTTCGTTAGTAGTTTGCTTCTAAAGAAAGATTTAAGGTGTATATAGTTTGTATTTTTTTTTTTTTCTGTATCTTTTTCCATTACCTTTTTGGGGATTAGATTCAAATTAGACTTCTGAGTGGCTGTCCCACGGTGAAGTAAATTCCCTAGGTTTGTGGCCTGGTGCTGGAAGGCAGGATGTGCTCAAGCCATTCTTCCTCCTCCCAGACACTTAAAGATGGTCTGCTTCACTTCTCCAGCTGCTTCAAGGTGAAGATCATACTGTCATGGAGATGTTAATGATAGTTCTGATTCAGGAGCCCTTTAGGGTATCCAAAGCCTTGCATTTGCTAAGGAAACTTCAAATCAGCAGTGACAGGGCTGTCTGGAATAATATCCTGGATCAGAGTTGGGAGGAGTCTGGCCTTCTTAATGAGAGGCAAGCTGTGGGTAGCGGTACACACTGGTAATCCCAGCACTCAGGAGGCTGAGGCAGGAGGACTGCCATAAATTTGAGGTCGGCCTGGGCTACATAGTGAGTTCGAGGTCAGCCTCAAATACTTAGCAAGACCCTGTAGCAAATAAAATAAAGTAAGCCTAATGAGAGTCAAAGGGGGATTTATTGGGATCACTTCCCATGGCATTTGTGCCTGTGAGAAGTGTTACTTTTGACGTTAACCATAGATGGGTGTCACAAAAAAGGGTAGCATTTAGTAGACAAAGTATTTCTAGAGCTAATAGTCTTTGAGGGTTGTTATTCTGTTTGTCAACTTTGAAGTACAAATGTGTACCCTGGTAATTGGCCCTGAACAGCTGGAAGTTTCTTCAAGCCCTGCTACGCAGACGCCTGGCTGCTCCTGGACGAGTGGCCCACTTCCACAGAAGGCTTGCAGGGCTGTGCGGGGGAGGCAGGTTCTCCTGCCGCGGTGACCGGTGACCGCGGAGCCCAGGACCATGGATGTGCACACGGGAAGAAGGAGCTCTCCTAAAGAATGTGCATGAGGGGGAATGTGTGCACTCAGAAATGAACTCATTGTTCAGATCCCTTTAAATATACGGCAGTGGTGAGTTGGTGTTGAGTAAGTAGTAGAAATCCGTGACTTTCTGATAAATCTTCAGAGTACACATCCCTGCTCAAGTAATCTCATGATCAGAAAGCCGTCTTTCTCTAGGGTTTTGCTAAGTTTTCCTTGTGGCTGAAATTTGACAGTGAGGATTAGGTATGAAGAAACAGCAGCCTTTGTGCTCCGGTTGCCCAATGCAAGCCTGTCCGAAAGAATATTATGTCATTCACAGTTTTAGCTGATCTTGAAAAGAGATTTTTCTTTTTCTCTGTTTCATTTTGGGGACAATACACAAATGTGGTGGACAGGTCACTGAAAATAAACTACATTAAAATCACCACATCTGCTTTCCTTGGCTAATCTCTTCCCATATGTTGGATGTTTCATTCAAGAAACAGTAATTTAAGGCACATAAGGGATGGATTTGCTTAATCTGATACCATCAAGGCATCAGATAGGTTATTAGGCCACCAGAGGAGAGGACCAGGTCAGCCACAGGCCAAGTAGGGTCAGCACTGGGGCCTGCCCTTTGCTTCTGCATTTTATGGATAGGCAGGTGTGTGGCAAGGGCCCACCTCATGCCCCACCTGGAGGGCAGAATTTAAAGCTGGTTGCCGGAAGAAAGAATGACTGTATATGTGTATGCAGAAATGTTTGTGTCTGTAACCTCCTCATCGGGCCTGCAGAACCCCTTCTCCCAGACTCGAAGATGGCCCAGGAACGTACTTCCAACATGAGGTGGAAGTGGGCAATTCTTTAAGACATCACAAACTGGAAAAACAAATTCTAAATTGGTACTGAAGCTAGTGCCTTCAATTAAGATTATTCAGTTATTATTAGGAAGGTAATTATTTCTCTCATTATTTCTAAAAATTATAAAATTAAAAACATTTAAATAAGGTCATAACCCAAAAGACTTTGCAAAGATTTTTCACATAAGTTTCATTCTGGTTGCCTAATAACCAAGAAATAACCCTTTCCTTTGTAACCAGCACCTTCCGTAACTCCTCCTAGTCCAGGTGGTTTTCTGTGACATTTAAATTTCATTTTATAGAAACTACTACATACAATTTCATAGACATATGTTAAGTGGATTAAAACCAAGCATTGGTATAGCTCCGGTAACCCGAGTTCTGGAATCATTGCCAGTTAAAATATTGAATCACATCCTGATTACGTTGTGGTTTCTTGTGCCTACCTTGTAGCATTTCTGGTTAATGCAGTCAGTGGTACCTGAAAGCCTTTGATTTACATTTTCCAGATTTTCACCAACTCGATAGTTGTATGCTATGGCTTTTACCTGACCTTGGCCTTAAAAGTTGTGCTTCTTTTCCAAATGCACATATTTGGGAAATTATACAATGTGCAAAGCTATGCAGCATTTAGTCCCTCGGCGGGTGGTGTCCTCTTTGCTGCCCTGACTCTCTGTGCGAGATGGGTCTTACAAAGAGGAGCGCTGGGAAGCAGCTCCCTCCGGAGAGCACATTTATAATGTTCTAGGATCCCACCAGGGGAAGAAATAACACGGAAATCTTATTATTCCTTTCTACAGGGAAAAGGAAGTGAAAAACAAATGCACCCCACGATAATCAGTTTCTGACTATTCTTTGATAATGCTGGCTTTGTTGTTTTTAGCTGAAATCATTAGATTCCATTTTTAGTATGACAACAACTATCAGCTAAATTAGTCTACAGCAAGCCATTAAGATGGATGTTGGAATTAAAAACATTTTTGGAAAAAAGCCTGGTTTCAGCCTTTGTCCTCAGCCGGAGCAGAGATCCGGGTTGGGTTTCCGTTGCTCGCAAGTTCTCTCTCTGACATTCTGTTTTCAGGTGCGCACCCTGAGCATCCTGCTCCCTAAACGGAAGCACACAGACCAGCGTTTCCCCTTGCAGTCTCCCCGTGGGTCAAATGTTTACTTTCTTGTCATGTTAAGAAATAATAGATTTTACTCTGAGAATTCCTGACATATTCTCCTTACTTAAAAACAATTTGTGTTTGAGGCACGGAATTGAGTGTACCAGCCAGTGTGTGCCACCTGACAAACCCATGGTTAAGTTCTCCGTTTGTTACCTACAGCAGTTATATAAGGTACCTTTTTTCTCTTTTAAACATTGCATTATTGATTGATTGATTGATTGATTGTACGGGGAACCAAACTCGAGGCCTCGTGTGTGCTAGACAAGTGTTCTGCCACTGAGCTAAACCCCAACCTCAACAGTTACATAATTTACAATTAAATTATGTTCGCAAAGGTAACACCCCCAACCCATCACTTCCAATTTTAATGTACCGTTGTTTTTCTGACTGTCTAGATTTAAGAAGATGATGAAAAAATGTTGATGTAATTTAAAAGTTGTCTCAGTCGCCATTGTCAATAGTATAGGAAATAGCAGAAGAAATATTCTTTCAGTGTTTGGTAGTGTTATTCAACTTACCCAAGTGATATTTTGACATATAAAGAAGCTTTCTCGTGTTTGCATTACTCATTAATGGGAACAAAACAATCAACATCCATGTCAGAACTATACTTGTCAATCAGTTGTAACCATAGTTTGGCTGTAGTTATAAGAGCTGAGTGAAAGAGCAAAACATGCTTTGAGAATCAGTCAACTATGTGGAATTTGTAGTAAAGAACATTGTGCATTTTATTATTCATAAATCATGTTCTACATATTGTAGGTGAGTAATACTTATGATAAACATACTCACATACAAGCACAGATTGTTTTCTCACACACTGAGGTGGGTGACCATGTTCCAGCATACTGCTGACACGTAGGAGCTTCTCAGGATGCTAGAGATGATATTTATACCCCCTTGAGTTGCTCTCCAGATGCTTTATCTAGAGTAAGTGCTCTGTATCACTGCCTGTAGAGGGAAAGCTATCCCGCAGTGACTAGGTGTTTAATCTTTAAAGTACAGTTCCATTTGTCTCCAACACAAACCCGTGGGCCCCTGGAAAGTGAAACTCAGTCAGCAGTTCCAGCCAAAGGGCTGGATAGAAGAACTTTCTGTGGCAAAAATCTGAATAATCATATTTTCTACTTCTCATTGTGTATAGCTCTGGACAATTATCACAAGTGAGGACCACGTACAGCAGTTGGTACTGATTCAGAGGAATGTGAATTGCTCTTTCTCAAAGCAGTGAGCCAAGCATGGTGGTGCACACCTGTAGTCCCAGCCCTTTGGGAGGCTGAGGCAGGAGGATCAAATGTGAGCTCAGCCTGGGCAACTTAGGGGGAACCCTATCTCAAAAATTTAAAGAAGATCTAGTGCAAAAACCCTGGGTACAATCCCCAGGGCTACAAAAAGAAAGGCAGTAGCTCTCTGTGTGCCAGCTTTGTGTTCCCAGAAACCATCCCTTCATGTCCATTCCTCTGAAGGTTCAAACCTTGGGGTGCCAGAGAGGATGAGGGCGAGTGAGCACTGTGTCCAGAGCTGCACAGCTGTCTCCTGGAGGTAGCCCAGCTTTTCACTGGTACCAGAGTGACTCCTTACTGCAGTGTTGCCATTATGTCCCAGTCCTGGAGTTGAACCATTCCCGTGTTTCTTGAAGCCAAGAGGTCTTTTCCCATGGCCAGGCTCTTCCTACGAGCAGATTCTTTTGTTTGTGTCTTTCACCTGTTGATTAATATGTGATAGAAAAGTCCCAAAACTGCATCATACAGTGAATGCCAACCTCTTTCTGTGCCTCAGAACTGGACCAAAACAGGGACGACAACTCTACAAAGCCACTTCCCACCCCTCTCTGCGCTTGTCCGCTCCCCTTCAGCCCTGCGTTTCTAAGATGCTGCCTTTTGTTTCCCTGATACAGCCTTATCCTTTGCTGCAATCCCTTGATCCTCAGGAGCTCGGAAAATCTCTGGGGTTTTATGCCTGATCCTTTTCTGTATCCCCCAAAGGCCAGGTGCCAAGCTGAGCCATGGTGGTGTCCAATAGAAAAGGTCAGCGTGGCATTACCTTCCTGAGAGATGTCTCTTCAGGAGCGTGGCCAGACATTTAATTGCAACTGTGTAACACGAGGTAGCATTTTGAGGGTGTGTGGCTGCCTGAATAATCCCCTCTCAGAACAATTTAAATGGATTCCCACAGACTAAGGAGATGCACAGCTGAACGTTAGTGCCTTTATTTTCTGTCTGCATTCGCACCATCTGGACCAAATCATCTCCCACTTGTGTTGCATTCCTGGCTCCTAGCTGAGTCGGCTTCAAGGACCTGAAGAGCAGAGATGGTTCATCAAGCAGCAGTGGAAGTGTCTGAGGACTAGGAGGCCGTAGGGCAGGGCTCCTAAGTTAGGGACAGGACTGAGGGGTGGCCTGACATGACATAGGCACCCAGTTGTGAGCAGTCTGTTTTTCTGCTCCTGCTCAGAGCTTGGATGTCTTGCTTCAATCATTGTTTGGGTCCATCAAGTTTGGTCATGAAAGAAATGTGCCATATCAAGCGCAGTGGTGCCTGTAATCCCAGCACTCTGGAAGGCTCAGGCAGGGGGACTGCACATTCACGTCCCACTTGGGAAACTTAACAAGACCCTCAACATACAAAAGGACAAGGAATGGTAGCTTATTCCGATTTTTGCCACAGAAAGTTCTTCTATCCAGCCCTTTGGCTGGAACTGCTGACTGAGTTTTTTAATGTAAAGGCCCCAGGTTCAAGCCCCAGTACCACTGCTCCTGCAAAAAGTGGTCTTCTTTTGATCCTTAGAGGAAACAGTCTTCTGAGTAATATGTTACCATTTTTAAACAACACCCATAGCAGAAGTAATCCCACCTAAAGCAGGGGGCTGGATTGGTTGGCCTTCATTTTAATATATAGTGTTTCTTTTCTGAGGGTATCTAGTGGCATGCTAGTAAATGTTTAGCAACTGGCTCTCTGGTAGAAAAAGAACCCCAATTTGGAGTGTTTGCTGATTCCCATCATGTAAACGCTCCCACCATGGCTGGTCCCTAACTACCAACATGATGTTCCTGATCGTAGAGTTGAGAATAGATGCCAAAAACTGGTTGTCAGGAGCTGGTTCTAGCACACTGCTGACTCTGCCTGCTCAGAGACTGCTTACTATGTGTTTTGGAATGTTCCTGTCCTGGAACAAACAGAATCCTGGAGACCCTAAGCACCAATGAGGGCAGGGGAACCAAAGAAGAAAGAAGACAGATTTCTCCCAGAGCTGCATTCCTCACAGTGGAAACTGCGGGCTTGGAGCAGCGCTGTGGAACATGGAGAGACTGCGTCTTTTGTGGCATTGTGTATCAGTCTGTCTGTCTCTCTCTTTACTCCAATTATAAAATATCTGTTTTGCCCACCTGAAAAGTTACTGTGAAAATCATCTCAGACGA